ATATTATTTTAGTCATTGCAAGTATTATATGACAGGTGGATATAATTATATAATTACTTCTGGAAAAAAACTGTACTGTTAATTTTTTTTTTATTTCTGCAAGTTAAAGTTAAATGTTTATTCTCTATAAACTCTCTGGTCTTCTATCTGTTTAGATAAAACAAAGTAATTGCTCCCTTAAAGGAAGTAAACAATCGTAGATAAAAATCTTTGCTTTTTCTGTTTTTAGTTATGAACTGAGATGTGGACTACATCCTGAATTCTGCTGCTAATTATTTGTATAACATTAAACACATTCTCTAACCTTTTCAGCCTTAGTTTCTTGAGCTTGAAAAATTCAATATCTACTTCAAAGAATTGTTCTGAGGCTCAAATGAGATGATATTAACGAAAAACATTTTGTAAATGTAAAGCACTGTAAAGTGACATGGACTAGTTAATCGGTTTTACTCATGAAATAATACTGTGGTCATTCTTCCTGTCATTCAACAGTAGATTTTAGCCCTTGTTATGCGTGAAGGATTTCTGAAATATTGAAAGACTTTTCTGGATATTGCAGCCCTGATTCAGGTCATGAGGTTAACCCCCTGCCACTGCTCTCTTGACAGGTGTTGGCTCATCTGGCCAGGGGCTACTTTTCAATGGCTCAGGTCTATTTGATGGAGCTTGGAGAGGTGATTTGCAAATGCATGGGGGAAGCAGATCCATCTATTCAGCTCCACGGAGCAAAGGTACATGCTTTCTTTCCTCTTCATTTTATATTTCTTCCCTCTGCTGTATGTCCATCAATTCTGTCCATCCAAGAATGTTTGGATGCAGATAGGTTCACTGATAATATTTCTATAAGGAAGTCAGACATTCCTCCATCTTCAGCTCTCCATAAAAACCCAAGGAATTGACTTGGTAATTAATTAACAATGCTGGTGATTTTACTCCTGGGAAGAATGCCTCTGAGGTACGAGTTACTAAGAAATGAAAGAAAAGCAATTAGAAGTTCTTTTTCCCTTGATTTGAGGTGATCTCCAGACTGAAGTGAAGTTGTTTGTAACCCCCATAGCTCTAATACTTTGCTTTGATAACCTCTTTCTTTTTTATCTTGGCAGCTTCTTGAAGAATTGGGTACAGGCTTAATACAACAGTATAAACCAGATTCTACCACAGCACCTGATCAGAGAGTGCCAGTCCTTTTGGTAAGCAAATATGAATTCATAGTTTTTCTTTCCTTACGCTTAAGTTGTAGCCTTATTTTGAGGCTCACTGATGAAGTGGAGTAGATGGCATGGTTTCTTCTAGTGACAAAAATGATGGTTTATAATCTAGGATGATGTGAAACTAGCAAGAATGGATTTCATTTGCATTTCAGTTTATTTGCACTTTGGTATGTGGTATGTGGTGTAGCATTGGGAAAGTCAACTGCGAAGGAACTGTTTCAAGTGCTGAGGAGCAAGGATATCTCCTTGAGGACTAAGGTGCGCCTGACACAAGCCATGATATTTCCAATCACCTTGTATGCATGTGAGAGCTGGACAATGAATAAGGAAGACCGAAGAAGAGTTGATGCTTTTGAGTTGTGGTGCTGGCGGAGAATGCTGAAAGTACCATGGACTGCTTAAAGAACTAACAGATCTGTCCTGGAGGAAGTACAGCCAGAATGCTCCTTGGAAGCAAGAATGGCCAGACTTCGTCTCACCTATTTTGGTCATGTTGTAAGAAGGGACCATTCCCTGGAGAAGGATGTCATGCTTGGTAGGGTGGAGGGTCGACGAAAGAGGGGGAGGCCTTCAACGAGATGGATTGATACAGTGGCTGCGATGATGGGCTCGAGTATAGCAGGGATTGTGGGGCTGGTGCGGGATCGGGCAGTGTTTCGTTCTGCTGTGCATGGGGTCGCTATGAGTCGGAAACGACTCGACGGCACTTAACAACAACAACAACTTAACAATGTGGTAAGATTATATGTAACATACAGCCAGCAGTGGACAAACCAGTATTTCTTTTGCCTAAAACCAGCCTAGTTTGGTTATTCAGCATGCCCAGGAGGCAGACTAGAATGGTGGGAGGGGCCAAGGGCTTGGAGTCAGAAGGCCTGGGAATCAAGCACAGCAGGGCTGTGTGGTTCTGAGCAGAGTCTCCTCATTATAAAGAGGAGTGATAATCCCCACCTCACAGGGGTGTCGGAAGATTGAATGAAAGGTGGAGATGTTGACATGTAGTGCTCAGTGGATGCCCATGATCCTTCTTACATCCTGTGCTCTCAGGGGGTCTCTGTTGTCCCCACACAGGGCCACCTCTTTGGCAAAGGGACATGTAGCTCCACTAAGAAAAGCCTCTACTTGGTACCAAAGAAAAATCAACTCAACATCAGCAATGTTTTCTCCTTCCTCCCCTCCTCCTACTTCTTCCTCTCCCTTCATAATTTCCATCATCCTTGCAGGGAATTAAAAATCTCTAGCCCTCCCCAGAGATATTCTTTCAAACCTTAAACCAGAAATATGCCCTGAAGTCTTCTTAAAACCAAACAGTAGTTCAGCTTAACTAGTAAAGAAGGTCTGCCTTGAGCCCTGGGCTCTTAGGAGCTGTCTACATGGGAACACATTGACATAAGCAGCTTGAAAGATTAGACCGGAACCTTAGGGGGCAGTGAGTTTATGTTAATGGGGGAGAAAAGGAGGGTGAGAGTGGTGGTACAACTTGAAGAGTATAGTCAATGTCACTGATTGGTACCTGTAGGAACTTGAATTGGTATATGTTTTGCTGTGTATATTCTCAACAAAACATAAAAATACATGTGAAAAGAACAGTCTCTAGACCTGGTCTCTCCTTAGACTTAAGCCACTAAAGCCGAAATGTAACCATTCACAGCGTCATGATTTGAGTGTTGCTATCAGACAGTACTGGGTTTGAATCCAGACTTCTTCCCTTGCCAGTCAAATGACTTGGAACAAGCCTTTCAGATCCAGGCTTTTTTTCCCACCCCCCATCTGTAAAAAAAATGGATACACTTTCTGTATTAGTTTTGTGTCCCTGAGTAATAAATTACCCGAAGTCTGTTCTTATGGTTCGCTGCTATCGAGTCATCCTTGACTCATGGAGGCGGAGATGCCATGTGTTACCGAGTAAGACTGCTCCGTAGTGTTTTCTTGGCTGTAATCTCTACGTAAGCAGTTCACCAAGCCTGCCTTCCACAGAGCCGTCATGTGCACTAAAACCTACAGCTTAAAAAAATGTAAATGTATTCTCTCAAACAGGGTCAGGAATTGGGAGCGCCTTAGCTGGGCGGTTTGGCTCAGGGACTCTTGGGAAGTTGTAGTCAAGATGTTGGCCAGGGCTGCAGTCATCCGAAGTCTCGCTGGGGCTGGAGAATCCTCTTCTGAGGGGGCTCTCTCATACACCTGGCAAGTCGGTGCTGCTTGTTGGCGGGAAACCTCATGGCCTTCCCCCCTTGAGGACCTTTTCATAGGGCTGCTTGAGTGTCCTCTTGACGTGCAGCTGGCTTCCCCCAGAGTAAGTGATCTGAGAGAGCACAAGATGGATGCTGAGGTCACGTCTTTTAGGACTTAGCTTTGGAAGTTTCACACTTTCATTTCCGCCTGTTGGTTACACAGATCAGCACTATTCTGTGTGGGAGGAGACTTTACAGGGGTGGCAAGAATTATTGTGAGTCCTCTTAGAGACTGACAAGCACACCTTCTGTCCCCGTTCAAGCACAGAACCTCTGGCTTCCACGCATACAGTCTCTGGCTCCCCAGCACATAGACTCAGGGCTGCCCTGTGACCCTGATCCCTGTGTCCTGACCTTGTTGGGTGTTGGCTCATATGGATTGTAGCCCGGCTCTGCTGCTGCCCATTAGTAAGTTATCTTGTCTCTTTGTGCCTCAGTTTCCTTGTGTGAAAATGGGTCTGATGCGTTCTACTTCACTCAGTTGTCCTGAGTATTAAATGAGATGATATGTGCAGAGCACTTGGAACAGTGGCTGGCATACAGTAAGTTGGCCGAAAAATATTAGCTGCAGCTGCTGCTCCCCTCATCCTCACCTTCATCCTCATTGTGGTTGTCACTATTGCTGTTTAACTCCACCAGGCAGTAGTGTTCTAATCAGTAAAATGGAAGGGTTCAACTAGTTGTTCTCTTAAGTTCTTTTCTTTATTGTTGAAGAAGAAGCAGTGAAAGCATTTACAAGAAGCCACTGCTGTAAGGAGAGATCTGTCAGGACCACCGTCACTGCTGATAGGCTCAGTGTCAAGTTTGTCCTCGGGTATCTCCTGGGCTGGGTTTCAGCTCCGCCTCTGTTCCAGGTGGTGACGTTCTGGACTATGATGCTGAACGGTCCCCTGCCCAGAGCCCTCCAGAACTCAGAGCACCCGACCCTGCAGGCGAGCGCCTGTGATGCCCTATCTTCCATCCTGCCAGAGGCCTTCAGCGTTCTGCCGGTAACTCCAGGGGCACCGTGTCATCCTTACAGGATGCTGCCAAGCATCGCAATTTGAGTTTGAGTCTTTCATTTTGACCCAGTCTTCAGTGTCATTTCTGAGAAAAGCTGCCTATTCTGTTTGAGAGCGGAGTGAGGACGGTGTGGGGAGCAGCAGGTGGAAACACTTGGAAAAGTCAAACCTGAATGAGTCCAGAGGGACTTTTCACCCTGTGCTGTAGGAGGTAGATGATGGAAGTGAGTAGCACTTGATATTTTAAAATCAGAGAGGTTTCAGGAAAATTCACATCTGGGAGTTAGAACGACCTAGGTTTAAATCCTAGCTCTTCCACTTTGATTTGATTATCTTCACTTCTCTGAAATTTAGTTTTATTAGCTATGAAATGGGGATAATGTACAAAATAATATAAAGTATGTGAAAATACTTAGCTTGGTACCCAACATGTGGTATTCAAACAGCTCGTTTTCTTTAGCCCTTAGTGGCAGTTGCACCTGTTTTTCTTATGTAATTGAGCTTTTATAATGAAGGCAGCTTTCATGAAGTCCAAGGTTGTAAAGATGAAGTGTGTAACAGATGCCCTGTACAGAGGGGGTGTTCAGTAGGTGTGGAGTCTGAATTGAACCTTTGTTCTTGACCAAAAGTAGCCTCAAGGTCACAGCTGTGTTTGCTTCTGAACATAGGACAGATTCTCCGTCACATGTTGAAGACACTGGCTTATCGCGATTTCATTCTCACTCTCCTTTTATCGTCCTTTCTCGCTGCAGAATGACAGGCAGATCCTGTGCATCACTATGCTGCTCGGGCTGAACGACAGTAAGAACCGCTTGGTGAAAGCTGCGACCTCCCGGGCCCTTGGAGTCTATGTGCTTTTTCCCTGCCTCAGACAGGTCAGAATAAGCCTGTTTAGCACTTCTCTGCCTCTTTCATAATCCACTATAAAATCCACTGCTTTTTTTTCAGAGTTATAGCACTCCTGAATTGGGACAGTAAAAGGAAATTGAATTACTTTGTAATCTGGTTTCCTTAATTGCTACTAAAATATGGTAATGCTTATAATTCATTTATTCTTTAATTGCTTAACACACCCCCTGAGCCCCTAGGTGCCTAATAAATGCTTAAATTATTGCACAATTAAATAAAAATGAAACAGGACATTGCCATGTGATAGTGGAGAGTTGATACAGCTGTTACTTATAGGGAAGTTAATTTCTCCTTCACTCTTACTTCACACTTATCTCACCAAGAAGGATGTAATGAATATGATGTGTTTTAGGAATGCATTTCTCTGTCAGAATGTTGTTCTCCAAGGTAGAAATCAGTCCAAGCCCAGAACTCAAGGATAGCCATGCCAGGCCAGGTGGGAGGTACGGACAGTAATGTGGCCTCTTTTCTTTGTTCCTGAGAGCTGGATCACATCTGAGGCTAATGAGGGAGGCTAAGAGGGCAAGAGGGATCACCTGGTGGCCTGATGCACCTACCTCAGGAGTCATGATGTAACCTGTCGTGACCATGTGGGGAGGCTGATAAAAGCCTGAAGATTCAGATGAGCTTCCTGGTTGGTGAGAATACCTGCTCTTGGGAAGGGTACTCTGTCCCTTTGGGACATGGAAGCTTTACGCTAGGATTCCTTCCAGACAGACCCTGTGCATCTCTTCATTTGTGTATTTTCGGCTATAATAAATCTGCAGCCATAAGTGTGGTTTACTCTCCTGTGATTTCTGTGAGTCATTCCAGCAAGGTATTAAATCCAGTGGGGCATTAGGAGCCACCAGATAAGTAAGGGTGTTGTTTAGACTCCCCAGACTTGCAGCTGGCATCTGCCTGTTTGGCAGTCTGAAGGACGATGTTCTTTTAACTTGTGAGCTCTGACCCAGCTGTGGGTGGCCAAGGTTGGAAGAGAGGATGCTGTGTGGGCAGCTGGCAGTGAGGATGGGAAGTGGGAATGTGAGGACTGGGTCTGTCCCCTCATTTTGGGGAATGAATTCTGTTCCTCACCATGGACCAAGTTACAGGATGTTCACAAGAGCAGAGTCCATAAGCTCATACCAAAATTGTGGGGGAGATTCCCATGAAATTTTGATGAGTGTCCAAGTTCTAATAAACTAGGAGAACAGTAAGTTGGTTGAATAAATGAACTTTGATTTCCAAATAGAAATTTGTGATAAAGGGTTACAGCTTTATCTGAAAATAAATTTGAGAATTTCAAAGGAACTACTAAAGCAACTATGGTATGTTGTTTTGTTTATCCTCTAGGATGTTATATTTGTTGCAGATACTGCAAATGCAATATTGATGTCACTTCAAGACAAGTCCCTGAACGTCCGGGCCAAAGCAGCCTGGTCCCTGGGGAATCTGACAGACACACTGATTGTCAACATGTAGGTGACTCGGCTCATTTTCCCAGGGGTGGCTTCTGAGGCTGAGGTCCCAAGAGGATACCGTTGGCCTTAAAAAAAAAGAATTAGCAGTAATCTCCACATTGTGCAGTCAAGCGTCTTTCTTTGTTTTATATCCCCTCAAGTAATAATATTAATAAGCTACTCTTAATATATATTGGGACTGTATTAAATTGTTGTTAGTTCCCGTGGAGTCAGTTCCAACTCATGGTAACCCCATGTGTGCAGAGTAGAACTGCTCCATTGAGTTTTCAAGGCCTGTTTTCCAACCACCTCTGGATGGGTTTGAACCACCAACCTTTCGATTTAGTAGTTGAACACTTAACCATTGGTGCCACATAGGGACTCCAATGTATTAAGAGAAAAACATAAAAAACATTGTATGTTGCTATAAGTATAATATCTATATTATAGAAAGTATGGAAGATATAAAGTAGAAATCCAAAACCTTAGGAATGGTTGTCCTACTTTTTTAAATGCATTGTTTATATTTTGTTAACTAATACAGCCACATATACCTAAAAAATGTTTAAACAGTGCAAAGGGGTAATTCAGTGCAGAGCCCTTCGTCCTGCCCTGGTCCCCAAGTTCCCACATATGCAGGTGTGTAGCTTTTTGTTTCTTAACTCCACACATATCTGTCAGAATTCTCCTGTTTTCTAGACCTTCGGTCATCTTTGTGCAGTAATCATTTAGCCATTCTCCTGTTTTCAAACGTTTAACTTATTCTTAGCCTTAGGCTTTTATAAGCAGTGAACATTTTTGTGCATGAAATCTCTGTTTGGAGATATTCGTTTTACATACATTTCTAGGTGTGGACCTACTGGCCCAAAAGGTATAAACTGTAAATTCTTTGTATAATCCGAACAGCTTTGTTGAGCTGTTTTCCTGAAGTTTTTATAGCTATACTAAGTTAATACGTTTTTTTTTATGTAGATGTTTAAATGGATTTTTCCTTTTTACATGCTTTGCCTTCTTTTGGTGGAGTAGGGAAACACCAGACCCAAGTTTCCAGGAGGAGTTCTCTGGTCTCCTGCTCTTGAAGATGTTGCGATCAGCCATTGAAGCCTCCAAGGACAAAGACAAGGTAGACACCACCAAACTTCATCTTCCTCCTTTAGACACTTAGTGTCTTCAGTTTGATCTCAGCATGTGGTATGATGTTCCTCAAACTGTCCCACCAAATTTACCCTACTCCAAGGAACTGAGAGTGTACTTGGGGAGCATAAAGGGGTCTACTCTACACCTGTACACTTTCTTTACTATCTCCTGTCATGAAAATAAATAGTGCCCATTGTAATACTATTCCATAATAGATCCATGTTTGTTCTTATGTTAATTAAGATTAATAGATTAATATTAATCTATATTTTTCCCAAAATAATCTTTAAGTAGGATTGACAAGTCAGAAAGATGAGCTTTCGTTAGGTTTGAATAACCCTTACTAGACTTCCGTAGTGATACTGCCTCGGAAACCCAAGGAGGGGTCGCTATGAGTCGGGGCCGACTCGACGGCACATAACAAGAATAACCCTTACTAGACAAATGAGTTTAAAAGTATAGACCTGGGCTTTCAGGTGGCGAAGTGCCTAAGGCATTTGACTGCTAACCGGAAGGCTGGCAGTTCAAACCTACCAGCCACTCCTCGAAAGGAAGGTTGGGCAATCTACTTCTGTAGTGATACCACCTCAGAAACCCAAGGGGGGGGTTACTATGAGTCAGATCTGACTTCACGGCAGTGAGTTTGTTTAGTCTGATTTGGGGCTTTAGAGTCAGTCAGGCAGACATGGATTCAGATCCTGGCTGGGAGACTTCAGCTGTATGACTTAATTTCTCTGAGGTTAAGTTTTCTCATCTGTAACATGGAAGTAGTTACACATACTTCACTGGACCCTGAGATGCCTTACCTTAAAGCAGCTAGCACACTATCTGAGCCATACCAAGCACTGAAGACCCGATAATCACCCGGGAAGCCCACCTCAGACTAACTTAATCAGGATTTCTGAGAATTGGTTGCTTTTTAAAAAAAAAAAAAAAATCCCAAGATGACTGTAAAAGGTAGAAAATCTCTAACCTATGGCCATTGAGTCGATTCTGACTCAGAGGAACCCCCACTGGGTGTCCAAGGCTAGGAATCTTTATGGAAGCAGATTGCCTCATCTTCCTCCCACGGAGCAGCTGGTGGGTTTAAACTGCCAACCTTCGGTTAGCAGCCAAATGCCTTAATCACTACACCACCAGAGCTCCTTAGAAAATTTCCAGTTTAGTCCACTAGGACTAAAGGTCCTTGGGCCTTACAGCTGTCTCTGTAAAATGAGGAGGATTGACTGGATGCTCTTTGAGGTCCAGTTAAACAGTAAAAAATCGGGGAGAGGAGCTTTTGTCGGATGGTTCACAGTGTCAGCAGACAGGACTTGGCAGAGGATGGGACCTGCAGATAGTGGTGCTCTGACACCTTTACCATTTACATTTGCATTTTCGTCAGCTCTCTGGCTGTAAGAAGTCTAGGACTTTGGACATTTTCCAAAGCTGAAATCTTACTTTCTGAAACAACTCTTTGGCAAAACAGGTTTCTAATATATTTTATTCTAGGTAAAAAGCAATGCTGTCCGGGCCCTTGGAAATTTGCTTCACTTTCTACAGCCATCTCATATAGAAAAACCCAGATTTACAGAAATCATTGAGGAGTCTATCCAGGCCCTAATTTCTACTGTTCTAGTGGAGGCGGCCATGAAAGTCCGATGGAATGCTTGTTATGCAATGGGAAATGTATTTAAAAATCCCTCTCTTCCATTGGGTAAGAAAGTTTCCTTCTGTCTGGGCCAGGACCTCTTTAGATAGCACACGCCAGGCCACATTGCTGTTAAGATGCTCGTCACAGTGGCGTTTATTACAGTTAGGAACAATGGAAACATACTGTATACTCTATTTTAGAGGAATGGTTAATCGTTACATATACACACATATACACACACATATATTCCCACATCTGCATATATATAAAATATGTGTGTATGTATATATATGTGTGTGTGTGCATGTGTGTGTATGTTTGCATTTAAAATGTTTGCAAAGAGTTTCTGGTAATCTAGGAAAATGTTTTCGATGTCAACCAAACTGAATGAAGCAGGATATAAAATTTTCTATAGTATGATCTCAATACATAGGTAGAAAAAAAGACTGAAAGGAAATTGTCTTTATTATTAATAGTGATTATGTCTGAACAGGAAGATGAATAGGACTTTACTGCTCACATTTTCTAAACTTTCTACAGTGAGCATACATTAATTATTTTAATAATCAGGATTTAAAAAAAAGGAAAAAATTGGTATGGGATAACAAGAGTGCAAATTGGAAATGCTACGTGAACCCTTGGTAGATATGTGGAATGCTACATACAAGGAGGACTTCTTTCTCTAATGTAATGTATCTAATGTTGATGGATCACTTAGTGGTTAATCGGTGCCTAGGCTCATGGGTCATAGCCTCCACATCCATGCCCTTTAAATGCCAACATTTGTCTTACACATTTGTCTCTGTGGCCAGATTTGATTGGTGTGAGTGTGTTCCCGGGAAGGAGAGACTCATTCTGAACCAGCGGAGCATACGTCAGCTTAGGAGAGGCTAGCTCTGCTTCCCTGATTTTGGAAAGTGCCCAGGCAGCAGGGAGCTAGTGGAGAAGGAGCTCATTGCTCCTTCCGGTGAGGAAATAAGATACCTTTCCCAGGTGGAGCTGGAGCTCACTGAGCTAGATACCTGCCTTGTGGAGAGCAAAGTTGAAACCAGGGCACTGCAACAATGTACCCTACCTCACTCTGACCCTTGCCTTCAGGTTACTGGAGAGAGAAGCTGACAGGAAGACAGGGGAGTGCATGACCTGGAGGGGAAGCAGCAGGTTTAAGGAGGCAGGTGGTTTGATGGACTAAACAGAACCCCGTGGCAGAGCTGTCAGGAACCACTTAAGAAAACGGAGTCATGAAACAGACTCCAGATGGTGATTGGGACAGTGTGTGAGACTCTAGGACTGTAACCAGAGGTGTATCTAAGGTACGGTGGGTGTGGCATGTGTCCTGGCTGCCACTTGAAGGGAGGCTCCACTGAGCAGTTTCTCATAACCATTGCAGTTTCCATCACCAGCTGCAGGAGATCGTTCAGGAAGTTAAAACACACTTTCATAGTTGAGAGCCCTTGCCTGGCTTCCGGGCTTTCTTCTCCCACAGCCTCCCTCTCCTACACCATCCCTTTCCCAGTGCCTCCTGCTTATACACACACACACACACACACACACACTCCTCCTGGCCTCTGCATCCCAACCTGCCACCCTGCACCAGGCCTCCTATCCACCTGCAAGTCAAATGCCCTCTTTTCCCCTGGAAATGTTCTAGACATTAGGGACTATTTTCTCTTAATGTAGCCTTCCACCAAACTGGAGGGGAAAGTTACCCAAGGCTAGAAAAGGGCCGAGGTGATGGGAGGTAGACCTGTGAGAGCCACTTTTTAAGAAGTCTTCCCTCTTCCATGAAAATGAATAATGGGGACCCCAAAGCAGAGTTTGGATCGATGGGTTAACTGTCCAAGGTGCACCATGATGCAGAGTATTTAAGGTGCGCGTCAGATGTTTGGACAAGGGCGCAATTGGAGTGCTTGCCTTCAGTGCTGTTTACCGTGGATGCACCTCTGCCTCTAACAGTGGCCCATTGTGTGTGATAGTAACATCCACAAAGTGGAAGAGGCCTGCTTGCCTGTTTTTGGAGGCAACAGAAAAGTTGGGAAGGGCTGAGAGAGTTAGGGAAGCTGCATTCTACTTTGCTGCTGCCCATCTGGAGGAACAAGGATGCCCCAAGACAGAGCAGGTAGTGGTAACTCTGGTGGGAAAAGTGGGCTGACTTTCTGGGGCCCTACAGGAAGAGAGAGAACACAGAAATCTGGCATCTTCTCAAAAGTAGAAGTTTTCACTTTTTTAAGAATAAAATTCATGACATGCTATGGCCAGAGTAGTGTCTAGATGCTGATTAGTGGTGGTGGGAGGGGAGCAGGGGAGGAAGGAGTGTTTTGTGTTTTTTTTACAGCATGAATAAGGCTGCCACTGCGGCTGTATGGTTGGCACACTGCTCAGAAGGTGGGGCCCCAGGCCTGTGCTCCTCCCACCAAACCACACGTGCCCTTTCAGGACAGCATCTCCCCACAAGGGGAAAAGAAGCCTTTTTCTATGTCATCTAAGTCCCTGTTTAGGGAAGCTGGTGATGTAGGGAGAGAGGACGACAGTCTAGGGGTCGGGTACACTGCCATTTACCCAGGATCCTACGGTCACTCCCCACCCTGATTGTATAGGGGAGTACTGTGAGAGTGAAAACAGGAAATGACGAGCCTGAACCCTAGTGTGTATACTTCCTTCTGTCCCCATCCCCCTGATGATTTCATCTAAGCCGTGACGTGTCTTAATGACTGTGGATCCTTTCTAGGAACTGCCCCGTGGACCTACCAGGCCTACAATGCCCTGACATCCGTTGTGACATCGTGCAAGAACTTCAAAGTACGCATCAAATCTGCCACTGCCCTTTCCATCCCGGGCAGGAGAGAGCAGTATGGGTCCACTGAGCAGTTCACGCAGATCTGGAATGCGCTGGTCACAGCCTTACAGAAGAGTGAAGATACCACAGACTTTTTGGAATTCAAGTATTGTGCCAGCTTACGGACCCAGATCTGCCAGGCGCTGATTCACCTCTTGAGCTTGGCCAGCGCCTCAGACCTGCCCTGCATCAGAGAAGCCCTTGAACAGAATGGGGACATGGTCCGGTCCTATATCCTACAGTTTTTAAAATCTGGAGCTAAAGGAGATGACTCCGGAACAGCCCCCAGCCTGCAGGAAAGAGACCAAATGGTGAAATCGGCCCTGGAGCGCATAGGCGGCATCCAGGGACTGACTGGAGACACAGCCCAAAGGGCCGTCATGGGTTACTTGGAAGATATCCTGACCGCTTATTTAGACTCAGCTGGGTCACAAGTGGCACTCCTCGGATTAACGAATCCGTGACTATCCCACCACACTCTCCAGGTGTCCAGTATGGTTCAAGGAAGACCTGTGCTCCAGCTGCTGGTATGTGGGCTTTAATCGTAGGGGCAGCACCAACCCATCTAGTATTTATTTAGAATGAGTTAGCAACTATTTAAAGTTTTCCAAAAGGGCTCTGCCACTTTGAAAGTGGTTCCACTGCATTGGTTGTGGTCTGGGTTGTTGGGGCCTCTGCCCTGTGCCACCAGCAGCTAAGGAGCTGGGTTGTAGTGTAGCCAGGCAGCTGGGGGCTGTGGAGGGTATTTAGTCTCAGAAAAAAAATAGATTTAGGAATCATCTGTCAGTTTGTCATATTGTGGTGGCTTGTGTGTTGCTGTGGTGCTGGAGACTGTGCCACCAGTATTTCAGATACCGGCAGGGTCCCCCATGGGAGACAGGCTTCAGCAGGCTTCCAGACTAAGACTACGAAGGGAGGCCTGGTGATGTCGCTACTTCAGAAAATGGGTGAGAACCTTCTGAATCACAGTAGAACACTGACTCCCTTGCTTTGGGCGCGTCATTAGGAGGGATCGTTGCTGGAGGAGGACATCATGTTTGGAGCAGAAGAGGCCCACCAAGGGGGTGGGAGACCCTCAGTGAGGTGGATTGGTACAGTAGCCGCAGTGACGGACTTGAACATGCCTGTGATCGTGAGGATGATGCAGGACTGGGCAGTGTTTTGTTCTCTTGCATATAAGGTCACCATGAGTTGGGACCCACTCAGTAGCAGCTATTTATACTGTGTCGCTGGGAATTATTTTTCTTTTATAATAAACTAATAGAAAATGATGTGTGCACAGTGTCCTGTTTTTATCAGGTTGCCATTTTTAGAGAGCTGTAAGCAGAGCCAGTGTTCAGCCAGTTTGCAGTGGTGCAGCTGCACCAGTTGCTGAAGTACTGAAACAGTTCCTTCCAAAGCAAACCCACTGCCAGTGGGTTGATTCCAATCCATAGAGACCCTATAGGGCCAAGTAGAACTGTAGGGCTTCCAAATCTGTAAATGTTTACAGAAGCAGACTGCCTCATCTTTCTCCCACAGAGTGGCTGGTGGGTTCAAACCACTGACCTTTTGGTTAACAGCTAAGCACTTTAACTACTGCCCCACCAGGGCTCCATACAGATTGGTGAACTGCTTCTACACATGAGCTCCCTCTATGTCTCCCCACAACCCGGTAACCAACTGACATTCCCTTCAGTGGGTGAATGGATACCTTAGCGTATCAATAAAATAGACATTACATTAATTATTGAGCCACAAAATAATATGGATGAGTATTAAAGGCAATACGCTGAATGAAAGAAGCCAGTCTTAAAAGGTTACATAATGTATGATTCTGTTTATATGACATTATGGAAAAGGCAAAACTACAGTGATGGGAATAAATTAGTGGTTACCAAGGGTTGGGGTGGGGGAAAGATGTGCCAGCTATAGTAGGACTAGACACAGTTTTTCAGTGAATGAAAACCACCTTCCCCCAAGAATGACTGAAAGGGTCTACTGCCTAATCACAGGGGTAATAACATTTATTGGCAGTTCCTTCCTTGCCAGTCATCATCTAGCACCTGAATGCAGGCTTGCTCTTCATTCTCAAAACAATCTCTGATGTAGTTATTACTAATATTTCAAGTTTACAGGTAGAGTAACTGAAAAACAGCTTTTAAGTGACCTCAAAGAATATAGAGTTAGGAGGCAGCAGAGTTGTATTTGAACCAGGCTCTTTGACTCCAATGCCAGTGAACTTACTATCTGAAAACATTTGAAACTCTTTTATTTTTTGTGTTACTGAGAATGAAAGATAGGAGGAGCTTTTGCTTTTTCAAACTCTACGCATATGCTGGGAGACCTAGGGTGACTCCCAGAGAGGCATGCCTCCACTTCCTTTGATGAAAATCATTAAACTGAAGATGTTGTTGTTGGTGTTATGTGCTGTCAAGTCAGACCCGACTCATAGCAACCCCTCCTTGGGTTTCCGAGGTAGTATCACTATGGAAGTAGATTGCCCAACCTTCTTTCTGAGGAGTGGCTGATGGGTTTGAACCACTAGCCTTCTGGTTAGCAGTCAAGTGCCTTAGGCATTGTGCTGAAGATACCAACTACAATTTTCCTTTTTCCTCCATATTTTTATACTCTTCATACTTGTGAGCATTTTATGACACGTCGACCTTCTCATTATTTAGAAGATCATGTTGTGCACTTTTTATAAAATTTAAAACTTAAAAATTTCAGCTCTTGGTTCTCTGATTCTTTTTGCAAGTATTCTTGAGTGGGTATGTTATAGCAATGTGCGGAATGGCCAGCAGATGGCGACAGAGAACATAACGTCATTCAGACTCGTTCGATTTTAACTTGGGCTTGGAACCTGGTTCATTCCAGCTAGACTCCCCAGCTGAAAATGGTTTTTCCGCCCCAGATATACTCAATCAGACTGTACGTTTTAACAAGATCTGTAAGAATCGCCTGGGGATATTGTTAAAATGTTGATTCTGATTCAGTATATCTGGGATGGAAATGCAAATTCTTAGGAGGGGATTGAACCTGAATGCACCGGTTCCAAGCTTTTAACAGCTGTTTCTCAGGCTCAGGAACTAACTGCAGCATCCGTGTATCCAGTTACTCTCATGAGAACACTGGTTCTCAGACCTGGCTGCACATTGGAATCACCTCTCCACCATCCAGTCCATTCTGACTCCTAGCGACCCTGTGGGACAAAGTACAACTGCCCCCATAGGGTTTCCAAGGCTATAAATCTTTATGGAAGCTGACGGCCTCTAATTTCTTCCTCCAAGTGGCTGGTGGGTTCAAACTGCCGACCTATTATCAGCAGAATGCCTTAACCGCTGCACCACCAGAGCTCCTTTGGAATCACCTGGAGAGCTTGAAAAAATACTGATACACAAGTCACACCTGCAGATTCTAAGTGGCATGGGGTGTGGTCTGGGCATTGGGAGTGTTACAAGCTGCACAAGTGATTCTAGTTATAGCCACATTTGAGACCGTTTGCCTTAGAACATACAAGAGTAGGTCTCAAGTTGGTGTGTTTCAGAATCACCTGGAGAGTTTGTGAAAAACAGACCCAAGCTGTTACTGTCTTTGAAAACCCGTGCATACTGGAATGGGGATGTATTAAATATATAAAAAACCAAACCCACTGTCACGGAGTCACCTCCGACTCATCACAACAAAGCAGAACAGCCGCATAGGGTTTCCAAGGCTGTTTGTTAATCTTCAAAGAAGCAGACTGCTTCATCTTTCTCCTGCAAAGCAGCTGGTGGGTTCAAACTGCCAATCTTTTGGTTAGCAGCCCAATGCTTTAACCACAATGCCATCAGAGTGCCTAAGTGTATGTGTGTGTGTGCAAACATATATATATATAATCAACCCACTGCCATTGAGTCAATTCTGACTCATAGTGACCCTACCAGACAAAGTAGAATTGCCCTGTATGGTTTCCAAGGCTATAAACCTTTACAGAAGCAGACTGCCACATCTTTCTCCTGCACAGCAGCTGGTGGGTTAGAACCAAACTTTAATTATATATATAAACGCACTGCCATCGAGTCGGATCCAACTCATAGCGACCCCTCCATGGGTTTCCGAGGCGGTATCACTATGGAAGTAGGATTGCCCAACCTTCCTTCCGAGGAGGGGCTGGTGGGTTTGAACCTCCAGCCTTCTGGTTAGCAGTCAAATGCCTTAGGCACTACGCCACCAGAGCTCCCAAT